CTCCCCCCCCGCCCCCCCCCCCGCCCCCCCCCTGCACCGCCCCTGCACTGCACTGCCCCCGCACTGCACTGCCCCTGCGCTGCCCCCCTGCCGCATTCAGCAATGACAGCACGGAAGCGAGTCCCGGGGAAATGCCTTCCCCTCTCTTCCCCGGTTCCCCTTCCGCAGAGGTCTGAAGTTTGCAGGAAGTGAGCCAGGCCTCCGAGTCACAGGACCTTCAGAGGGCAACTCAGACCAATGCTTTGGGGTCACAGCTTCAGACTCGCTCAGCAATCACAAGGGCTGCAGGCTTGTTAGCAAAAGAAAGAAGGAAGGGTTTTCATCCTTGTGTGGTCACCTGATGCTGGGCTCTGGGATTTTGTGGGAAGCAGCAAACACTGGCAGAGATGTGAGAAAAATCACAAGAGCTGTCGATACTGGAAGTAAAAGCAAGGAAAAAAATTTCTTTACCGAAAGAGTGGTTAAACATTGGAACAGGCTGCCCAGGGAAGTGGTTGAGTCACCATCCCTGGAGGTATTTAAAAGACGTGTAGATGAGGCGCTTAGGGACATGGTTTAGTGGGCATGGGGGTGTTGGGTTGATGGTTGGACTCGATGATCTTAGAGGTCTTTTCCAACCTTAGCGAGTCTATGATTCTATGAAAACTGAAAGGAGGGAACACACAGGGACAAGCAGCTGTTGCAGGGGCCGTCTCTCTCCTAGCCACTGTTAGAATCAGAGAATCCCCCCAAAAGGGAGATGTGCCGGGCAGTGGCCATCTACCTCCCTCCTCCTGCTGCTCTACATTTTCTCACCATTAGAGCAGCGCAATTAATGAAGAAGATGTTTCCATTCATCTTCATTTGCTTGTCTGAGGGATTTTCCCAGGCTTCCGCTTGCTCTGTGCATGCTTGCTCACTGGCATGTGGCTGCAGCAGCCCTGCTTGCAGGCATCGGCCTCCCCCTTGTCTCTGCCATCCCCTCGGGGTCATACGCTCAGCCACAGCCCCGTGCCGATGCATCGCTGACTACACGAGGAGCAGTCGGTCCTGGGGGATGCTGGCCATGGGCAGGCGAGATGCACCCTGGGCAGCCTCCTGCGACCACCCGGGCACAAAGCAGTGACGAGCTGAAGCTCCTCGTTGCTCACCGTTGCTCTGCAGAGCTCTGGCATAGGCAGCGCGAATGCTGGAGTGTGTGTGGTGGGGTGGGCTGGGGGTGCCCCCAGGGAAAGCACTGAGCTCCAGGAAGTGCCGTGGACAAGGGGGGAGGATGTGGGCTGCTGTGAAACTGCTCTGAGGCCTCTGGGCGGCCAAACAAGTGGCATCCGTGGACACCAACAAGGCCAGGCCATGCCCACTTATGCTGCCAGCCCCAACACAGTTATTCTGGGGGCTCGGGACCTGCTCCAGCTGGTTAAGCAAGGCAGGGGTCGGCTGCACCCTCCTTCTCCAGTGCCCGTGGTGGCAGTGGGACAGGGATGCTCAGCCCCTGCTGCTCGCCAGGCGCTGGGGGATGGGAAGCACTCGCTGGGCGGGAATTGTTTCCAATAGGCTGAACCTGCTCCCATTGCTGTCTTTTTCCCCTCTCCACTGCACAACTCAGTGGGGTCCCCATGGGAATGTCACTAGGACGGTGACACCAGGACCCAGGGATGACCCAGGGATGACCCAGGGATGACCGAACAATCTCCACTAAGCTGTGACTTAATGGACCAAAATCTCACTCCCCACGTTTACGGAGTTTTGTGCTTCCAGTAGGCTGGATCTCACCATGCGAACGGGCCGGGGCTTGCTGGGAGCAGTGACCACTGCCAGCCCAGCGCGCTGCAGCTGCTGTGCAAGTGGGTAGTGCCTACGCAGCAGGAGAGCGGCTGGCGTTACGTGTCATCCTCCTGCCACGTGCCAGCAATCCCCAAGAAATAGCTGGGGATTTGAACTGGTGGATTTTGGATGAGAGCTGAATCATCTGCTTAGATGCATCCTTTTGTCAGGGAAATGGCTTCGTCATCCGTGTCCAGCCTCTGATCTCCTGGCTTTGCCACCATTTCTCCAGCGTTATAGACTATGCACAGACACACACATATACACACACACAAGCCAGCAGACAAGATGCACACCCCAGGACACACAGCCCGGGGTGAGTCAGCGTGCTACTCCCTGACCTGTTGCAGCTTGCAGAGACATGATCCATTATTTGTGCAGCTCTGCACAGAGGTAAAAGCATCAATAATTGCTTTTCAGCAGAGATCTGGAATGTGCTGCAAAAGGTTATATTCCCCCAGCAGCCCGAGCCATCAGTGCTTGGAGATGTCCCCGTGAATCAGCGTCTGTGGTATTTTCAGAGAGCCCATCCCTCCCCGCGGGGCTGGTTACAGAGCCCAGGGAGGTGACAGCCTCCAGCCTGCACCTCTGTGCACCTCGGGGGCAGCTGCAGGCCTGTTGTTTGGAGAAGGTGAATCTCTCTGTACCCAGATAACTGAAGCTTCACCCTCAAACAGCAGAATAGCTGATGTTGAGCTCCATGTTGAGCTCCACCGTCAGCTCCCCTGTTAGCCCCAGTTGAAGCCTGGTCCTGGGCACTCTGTGCAGTGTGAGCAGCAGGAGCATCACCCCGCTGTGGCACCAGGTTGGGGCCGTGCCAGCGGACACCCTGCCTCTGGGGCCGGCACAGAGCTGTGGGATGCTGCTCTCGTGGGAGTGATGCTCTGCACCAGGGCATGGTGCTGCCAGCTGGGTCCAGGTACTGCAGGGCACCCCGCAGCACCCAAGGGAGTCCTGGACACCCTGATGTCTTGACTCGGTTTTCCCAAATAAATCCCCTTGCTGCTGACAGGACCGATCGCCCAGGTAAAATTGCTCATCTCCATCTTTGCAGGTTTGAGCTGCAAACGCAGGTTTCGGAGCCAAAGGAGGAGCGGCACCATTTTACCATGCACTGCACTAATCCATCAATCCCAGAAAAAAATTCTAATACAGATGGGGATGTCCTCATCATGGCCATTTAACTTTCTGGGGCATCAACTACAAGTTCTAAAGCTAACAGTGAGTGGCAGTCATTTCCCAATGAACACGTCTCCCGCCTGTGGATTGGAAACACACGCCCGAGCGTCCCCTGGTCTCAAATTCTTGTTTAAGTGCTCCTGGCACCTCCTTCCTTTCAGCACTCGCTTCAGTTGGCAATTTAATGTTTTTCTTTCTTTTTTTAGCATATTCCTCTTGGGAGGCTCCAAGCTCTGGGCTAGGACCTGAGAACGCCGTGTTTGGAGAGCCTGATTATGCACTGATGAAGGATAATGTAGATTGGGAAGGGTCTGGCCAAAAGCTCATGGATTGGGTCCAAACTCCTTCATGGTTCTCCGCTCCATGCAGTAAACGTATTCTTGGAGACGGGTGTCAGAGGCGCTGTTTGGCCTTAAAGGAGGAGGGAGATGAAGGGGGGAGCGTGGTGGGTCCGGCTGCCGGAGGGCTTCACCAGGCTCCCACGAGTGACAGGGGAGCGATACACGAGTGGAAGGGGAAGAAACTGCTGATCCGCAGCATCAGTCCCCCTGTGTTGGCTCTCCACATG